AGCTTCCCTCAGGTGCGCGTAAGGCAATTTCTGGTTTCTCTGTGATGATTTGCCAAAGTGTTTCGTCTGTGACTGGTTCATTAAGGTCTCCCTTCGAACTTTTTTAATGAGTCGGCTACAACTGTTCATGCGTGCAAGCTTGATTGCAAAACTGATCACGACAAAATGATCTGAAACAGATTTTGCTAGATACCTTGACTAATGAACTATCAGTGCTGAAAATTGTATTTACTTCCTGAGGTTCTGTATAGGTGAAAATATGAAATTCAATTTGACTAACAAAAGGGCCATTTACTCCATGCCTGGGGCGAAAGGCCTAGGGGGTGGGCCTTCTACCCCATATTAAAATAAATATTCGTGCATCAATAAAACAACAATAATATAGAAAGTCATATTTTTATTTTCATGTTGAACTTAAAAAAGGTATTTCACACAAAAAGAATTTTCACTTTTACAATTTGTATATAATTCCAGTAATTGAATACTTTAAATTCCTACATTATAATTTTTTTTAGACTACCTTGCATTTGAAATTACGAACTGAAAAATTAACTTGCAGAAATCAATGTGTGACTTTGTAAACCAATGATGATTGTATACTCATACATTAATAATCTCCATTCCACATTAAAGCTTCATTTCATGTATGGCTATCAAATGATTAAAAACAATAGATTTTTATTAATTCACTTAGGTCTATTCAGTCTTTGTCTGACTCACAGTTGTGACACATGTACGAATCAAATCCTGGTGTACAGTCTTCGTGTGACCATCTCTTGCAATCTGTACACTGCATCCATTTCTCAGAAGGTCTGCTGCTAGCTAAAGGCGCCCCATACACTAGGTAAGACCATTCATCATTAGAAAAAACTGGGCTTGGAATCTTCATACTCTTCCTTGTCGTTTTCTTTTTTGCTGTAACTTGTCGACTTATTCTTTTCAAGCAGTTGTTTTTTTGTAAGGTGAATATTTTATGACTAGCTTTTTGGCCTTTTCTTTTCGTATTTCGTTTCTCACTTGATTTCGGGGGGCTGCAAAGACTTGTAAGGCAGCTCTTTGCATCGTCTTTAGATTTTCATGGTTTTGGGTCTTGCGAGCTAGAGACAGAGGGATCATGAAGTGACACATCGTCTATGCCAGTGTTGACATCTGCCGCAACTTGACTCTCACTGGGGTTGTCAGGGGAACTGGGATAGGCATGTGTGTTCTTATTAGTGTTCGTGGAAGGAGCTGCTTCCTTTTCCGTTAGCTGTGTTGCTATGAAATCTTTATCAGAAAATATATCATTGAATGACCAGATTCCAGTTGCTTTAAATCCATTTATGGCTTTATCAATAGTGTCCATTTTCATGTATGCACTGGCAAATATTTCTGCTATATTGTATTGTGTAATGCGTTTGCCAGCATTTGCAAGCATCCAATTAGCTGCCGCTCTATTGTAAGCAGCTTTTAATGACTTGAAATATGATACATTTAGAGGCTTCAATTTGTGAGTGCAGTGAGGGGGAAGAGTGATCAAAGCTATGCCATTCCCTCTTGCAAAGTCAATGGCAGCGAGAGTTTTGTGACTGTGGTGGCCATCTAGAATTATGATGTGCTTCTCATCTTGAGTTGGCTTTACAATGGAAACAAAGTGATGCAGCCAAATTAAGAAGCAATCAACATCTGACCACCCATTAGTAGTGCATCTTGCTATAAATCCAGGTGGACTGCCAGTCATAAGTGGTGTCATCCTCTTTCGGGCAAATATGAACATTGTGGGAATATATACCCCAGCTGCACTTACTGCACAGAGAACAGATGTGGTCTGTCCTCGTTCGCCGCTGGTTATTCGTCCAACTGATTTTGCCACCTTAGTTGCCACGATATTAGCAGGCTTTTGCACTGTTGAAATGCCTGTCTCATCCATATTCCACACTTGTCTTGGTCTGTATTTAACCTTCAGATTATTTCTCATGGTAGACCCTGAAGAAGGTAGCAACCTGAGAACGATTAAATCCTACAGCTCTTGACATACTAGTAGCCTCTGGTTTCCTTATTGAGAGTGTTCGGTGTCTCTTAAAAAAAAAAAAAAAAAAATCTTTCCCTGCCATCTTTGTGGTTTTGTAAAATCGATTGGGAATCCTTTTTTTCTGCAAAATCAAATGCAAGGTGCTGTACATCAGTGGGTGTGAGGCCAAACAGACACTTTTCCATTTCCTGGATATGACTCACTAACATGGCTTCAAGGTTTTCATCAAAATCTGGTCTGAAACGTTTTGCATGGGATGCCATTAGTTCTTGCTACTGTTTTCTGTGGTGAACCAGCCTGAATTGCTTGCGGAGCATCCTATAGAACAGTGGTTCCATAGGATGCGCGTTGTGTTTTCCTTTTATAAACACGAGGCATCTCACATTTGAAACAAGAGAACAAAAACATAGATAAACAAGAAGGGGTAAGAAGCCCCCGAAAGAGCTTTTTGCCCCACATCACAGTAGGCTTTTTACCCCCAGACGTCAT